AACGGCGCCCCCGACCTCAGGGGGCGTTTTCTGTGTCAAGAGAGCACTTCGCGCGAGTTGCAGGGGTGTGTGGGCACTTGTGGGCACCCAAGTTCAAGGCTCTGAAGTGTCACTGGTCCGTGCTCTTGGCTGCGGACATCCCGTGAGTACGCATAGCGCTTCTTTTGCCTGAGGTTGGGGGACCAGAAGGTGTATGAGCCGGCGCTAGTCAGCTCCCAGACTGAGAGACGGTACGGAATGTTCATATCAGCGGCTGTAGGAATGAGCAGCGCTTGCCTCACCCAACCGGGGCGCCCGGGGCGTGAACTGGGGACACCGTCTCTGCATATGGTGCCTCCTGATGTACCTTAACAAGGTCGACAGGCCTTGGACTGGCAAAGTCGCAATTCCTTTCAGCAGAGTCCCTTCGCCAGCATCAGGTCCCTTCGTCGTCTCCAAACTTGTCAAAACCCTTTGTGGGCTCAGTTCAAAATGGCCCTCAGCCGTGCCCTCTTAGCAGTTCGGGCAAAGTCGCCACAAGCTCCCGGCAGAAATCTTGGAGCTCAACTTCAAACGTAGCTGCAGCTGGCTTATTGTGACTAGTATAGTATAACATGGCTTGATAAAACCCAGCTAAGCATGACCCGCCAAAGCTCACAAGGGCCAAGTGCCGGAAACCCGGCTTGCAACTCTTTCGCCTCATCTGCTCGACATGCACAGTGCGCTGTCTGTCACTTTGGCGTCGCTTCTGCCCTTCGTAGAGACAGTCGCAGGCCAACTTCAGTCGGACTGACTCAAAACCGCACGATGCAATGTTGTCACTGTGAATTTTGGCTTGTTTTAGTGCTGTTAGCTGGTCTGTGGGCATGGCTAGAAAACACAACTGGAATAGACGATCATCAACACGCGCCAGCTCAGTCGTCCAGGGCCTCTGAGGTATGCAGAGCCCTTCAGACTCGTTGCTTTTCGTGCTTGCTTTGTGTGCAGAGTTTGACTGCGAAAACTTATCCCCAGCTAAGCCATCAAGTTCAAGCCATGCGAGCACGATCGCTGCGAGGAACGGCACCTGTCGACGTTCCCCTGAGTAGACAGGTCCAGTGCCGCTCTCGTCTGACTGTAGTAGCCCAAGGGCCCAAGCACATGAGCGCTCACATGATCTAGCTGCACTGCATTTGCCCACTAGGAAGCAGCCTGCATTTGGTGCAAGCTAAGCCTCTAAGCGGCTTCAGGAGTTGCAACATTTCCGTTGCCGCTGGATCTTTTTGAGCCGCTCTGCCAGACTGGCCTGAATCTTGGTCGTGGCTCTCGCTCGTTCTTGCACGATTGAGCGAGTGTTGTTGCTGGCCGTACGCGTAGATGTAGATGGAGATGTACTAGAGGGCATAGGAACGCTTTCTGTGTCCGTTGCTGCGGTGCACACTTCGGACAAGCCCACTACTCTTCGGCACCTTCAAGCATGCAACGTCGGAACACGAAGTTCGGAAGCATCGCCATTTCGAGCACCAAGCCCAGCGCTCCTGCCCCTGTCTCTTCTCCTCCTCGTCTCCCTCTCCCTCTCCCTCTGCCGCTGTGCTCTCGATCTGGCTCCTTCGCGTTCTCGCCCACATTCCTCGATCACACGCCCTAGAGTGGGAAGTGTGGTGGCGCAGCAGAAAAGTCAGCACAGCGGCCGACGATGTTGGATGCAGCCTAGAGACGGCGGCGAGTTGAATGCCCCAGCTACCCACAAGCAACCTGCTGCATATATGTGTTCTGGACACGACAAGCCGCTTTGTAGTTCTCATTTCTGCTCCGTGTCCTCGGAGAATGTGGGCTTGGCCAAGATTGTCGCATACCAGTTTGTTTCCTGCTTCGCGTTTGAGAGAGTGGTATCGCTGACCATCGTGCATAAACTGTTTTGTCGCGAACTGCCTCTCGATCAAGTGCCATTCCTGGATCGGATCTGCATGACCATGAAACGCTTGCAAATTGTTGTCCGGCGGCACTGTTCGCTGAAGGTTCCTCTAAGTGACGCTGCTGCGCAAGATCGCACACAGCTGCAATTCCATTTTGCAGCGTGCATTTGTGTTACATTGGGCCTTTACAACTGCCCCCCGTATTCACCAATCTTGGCCGCACAACTTGCGAGAGCCTAAAATCCCAGGGTGTTGGCGTTTCGACCTAGGCCCTTCTCAGGCCGCCCTTAAGCCCCCCCAACAAAGACTCTGAACTCCAAAGCTGCAAATCTGAGCTCCTGAGCACTGGGTCGTTGCCGTACTTGGAAGCGGCTTACGGAAAGGGGGCCCTGGGTAGGGTCGTCGTGCGGGAAGTGTCTAAGCTCGGGATGAGCTTGGACCTCCCACCAGATGTTGCACCAGGTGGACTGCAGGCAGGTTTGGGGAACGAACATGAGCTCACCACAGGCGCCGGCTGTCCCACGTGATCCCTCCTAGTTGATCCACTGCCTCACAGGAAGAGCGTTCCATGCAGTCTTTCACAGTGACTTGCCCTTCCAGCATTCTCAAGGCCGCGGGGCGGTATGCAGGCATGCATATGGGCTTCTCGGAATGCTGGGGGCTTGGATCTCTGCTCCGGGATCCTGGTGTTCTTCTGCCATGCGGCCTTCTTGGACGTCGGACCAGCTCCTGTCGAGAGCTGCTGTTGAAGGTCACGACAGGTCACGTGTATTGCACTGGAATTGCAGTGCTCTCCATGTTGGAAGGGTCTTCTCCGTCAATTCACATTGGAGGTGCTCTAGGTGCTTTGCATGTGGGCTTCCCGGAATGCTAGGGGCTTGGGTCTCTGCTCCGGGATCCTGGTATTCTTTTGCCATGCGGCCTGTACCTCAGAAAACGCCAGCTCCTGTCGAGAGCCGCTCATGACAGGTCGCGTGAATTTCGCTGGAATTTCATTGCTCTCCGTCTTGGAAGGGTCTTCTCCGTCTCTCGTATCTCTGCAACCAGCTTTCCTTGGATGTCACAGCGTGGCTTCAATTCACATTGGAGGTGCTCTAGGTGCTTTGATTCTCTTTGGTGAGTTTGGCACGACGACCTGCTCTTGCCAGGCTTCGTGCACGTCTCCGTCACTAGCAGCTGGGCAGCTCACAGCTTTTGGAAGGACCTGAAGGCAGAGCAGGCATTCCAGCATTCCCTTCACGGTGCCCTCCATGCTGGAAGGGTCTTCTCCGTCTCTCTTAGCTCTGCAACCTGCTTTTTCTGGACCTCACGGCGTAGCGTCAATCGACGGGGGAGGTATTTCAGGTCCTTCAATTCTCTTTGGTGAGTTCGGCACGACTACCTGCTCCCGCCGGGCTTCGTGCACGGCGTCTCCGCTAGCACCTGGACGGCGTACAGAATGTAGAAGGACCTGAAGGCAGAGCAGGCATTCCAGCATTCCCTTCACGGTGCCCTCCATGCTGGAAGGGTCTTCTCCGTCTTTCTTGGCTCTGCAACCTGCTTTTTCTGGACCTCACGGCGTAGCGTCAATCGACGGGGGAGGTATTTTAGGTGCTTCAATTCTCTTTGGTGAGTTCGGCACGACTACCTGCTCCCGCCGGGCTTCGTGCACGGCGTCTCCGTCACTAGCTCCTGGACGGCGTACAGAATGTAGAAGGACCTGAAGGCAGGGCAGGCATTCCTGCATTCCCGCCACGTCGAAGAGTCTTCCACGGGGGTCGTAACGACGTACCAGCTGTGTGGAACATCGCTTGCAATCGAGGCAAGATGCAGAAGGTATGGCTTGAAAAAGGCACGAAAACGGTTTTCCCTAAGGATGATGATGGTTGCAAGTGGTTTTTGGATGCCGTGTTTTCCCGGAGCCCTCATAGCGGGGGTTTGGCTGAGATCAAGCAAAGGTACCACCAGAGTGGTGACGTTCCTAAGCGCTGGCCTGCTTATGCCCCAAAGTCCGGGGAGGTTCCAAATCTGTGTCATGTCCGCAGAGGCATTGCGCGGGCGCTGCAAGACCCGGTCGGAAGCCAAAAGCTCTTGGAAGGGCCAGCAACATGGCCGTCACCGTCAGCGCGTGTACAAAAGATCGCTTGCCAAGGTCTATGATGGCTGTGCTGCGCCAACCTCGAAGCCTCGATTCAGAAAAGAAACAAACCCCATGCACAAGACCCATTGGCACCATTTCGCAAGCGCATGCGCAGGCATCTGATCTGAGTCAACAGACACCTTCAGCAAGGGCCAGCTGAATGTCGCAATTGAGAAGTCGCCAGACGTTCTTCGAAGCCGTTGCAACTGAAAAGCTCGCAGAAGCTTTCTCTGAGGCCAGGAAGGCTCTTGAAGTTCAAGTTACGTCGAGACTTCGGCGTGTGGGCTTGCTAAGATGAGGTCCTTGACATGCAGCCTTGGCAGAGGGTGGAGGAGTGGAAGCCACTTGAAGGCAGCGCAGCCTTCGTAGAGCCCATGCCCACACCTAAGCTTCCTAGACATGGGTTTGCTTCGGTGCATGGGAAGGAGCTCGGGATTGAGAGGCGCCCGCCGCCCACGATATCTCGCGGCACGATCTGCAAGCTTGAAGCCGCGGACCAGCCCTGATGGGGCACCAAGCAGACTTGTGTGGAGCTTTGCGTTGCAGCTTTTGCACGGATGCGCCTCGTAGACTCTTAGCCAGCTTGGTGACCAGTAGCCGCGTGCTGCGATTCGCTTCACGATTAGTTGCGGCGCAGCGGCGCCCCTCTCGGGCGTCGTGCTGCCCATCTTTCAGCGGCTGCAATTGACCACCTGCCGTCGAATCGTGGATGACCATGGAGTGTCCACAAGTGAGGGAGCGAATGCGTGCAACCTTCAGCATCTTCTCGCAAACATCTCATCTCTGAGGATCGTGTGGTGTGATTCGGTGTCACTGAGCAGTGTCACGAAGATTTTCACCGCGCATCGCTTCACGCTGCGCGCTGCTCTGCGGCCACTGGGGCTGGCACTCGCGCCGCTCAATAAAGTCTTCTGACGGGGAAGATCGCACCTCGGAGTTGGACGGCCTCCACACAGTGATGCTTGGTGTTTTTGGTTGCCTGTTCTGTCTACGGGGCAAAGGCTGGCTTAGTAGCCCAAAACGCTTTCCAATCCTCCAAGAGCTGCTTCCTGAAGTTCTGGCCTCCCAACGATGTCGGGCCGATCACACGAGGCTGTACCAGTAGCATGCTGCAAGTGAGAACCCACAACTGCGATGCAGCACTCTGCGCAGGCCCCACAAAGCCCCTCTGGTGCTGTGCAGCCTGCACGGACTGGTTCGGAGACGGGTTCGCGGGCTGCTCCGCTGGCCGTCCGGGCCGTCCATGTGGCGCAGGTCAGACCGTGCAGATCGCACGCAGGTCGCTCAGGCCGCGCCGTCGACTTGCAAAGCCGGTTCTGCATTCACTGCGGCACTTTCTGCCTCCGGTGCTTCTCGATTGACTTTGAGCTTCTGGGACATTGCAGCTTGACCTTGAAGCCGAAAAAGGGTCCGATTGCCGGTCTGCGCTTGAGAACCAGTGCTTTTGATGCATGACCGTTTTCGCAAGGACAAGATTGTTTGCATACCCATCTCGAACGGGGAGCCAGGGATGCTTCGTTGACACAGGTTTGTTGCCCTTCCCAGGCCACTGCAAGACTTTTGAAGTCCCCAGAGTTCTGAGTTACTCCTTAAGGTCCCCCGAGAAGCAAATCGGAAGTGCTTACCTGGACCCTGGTGCAGCTGGATTCCCTCTGCCTTATGATGTGCTTCGGACATTAGCAAATCCAGAAGGGGGTTTCCGGACATAAGGGACCCCGAATATCGTCCCCCAAATACTAGGGGTCCTTCTAACCAGGACCCCAAGAATCCATCTCAGACTTGTAGAACCCTACGTGCAGGGGCAGACCGGCATGTTCCCAAGCATCACAGCCCTTCATGGCTCGTTTTCGCTTCGTAGATCGCAGCCTTGGCTCTGTGATATAGGTTCTTACGATGGCCGGACATTACCACGACATGGCAGTAGACTGCAAGATTCTGTCACGCGACTTTTGGCGGCAGTTAGTTTTACCAGTGGGGCTGTGGTCGAGGGCCCGAGGCCCTGAACCCTAAGCCTTGCAGCTCAAACCTCAACGCTACGATTTGCTCAAGAACCACCAAACAAAGAAGAAATATTCTTCAATCTCAGGGCAATATAGGAAGTGATATATATATATATATATTATATTATATATTTTATATTTTTGTATATTATTGTTTATTGTTGTTATCAATATTATCACGATTATGTTTTTTTTTGGGTGGGGGGGGTGGGGTGGGGGTTCTGAAGAGCGCCTTGGCGGTGATGCAAAGGAGGTTCAAAGTAGGGGCACCGACCCGAGGCCTTCCCAAGAGATCTCAGCAGGAGGTTGGTTCTTGTTTAGGGTTTGGGGTTTAGGGTTTGGGGTTTCGGGTTTCGGGTTTTAGGGTTTAGGGTTTAGGGTTTTGGGTTTCGGGTTTAGGTCATTCCTGAGATTCGTTCTAGCATGAGTACGTACCATGATTTGCACGCTCTATGCTGCTTGATTGCTGCATGACTTACGTGCGTAACTGTTTCATGCTGGATTCGATAACCCCAGAGTCGTGCCCAGGATCTCTGCTTCATGGCCGCGATCTGACATGCAGGCGCAGTAGTGTTGTTTTGCTGAATGATCCTGGGTCCTTTGCGCCCTGGTCCCCTGCTACTGACATGGAATGCAGAGCCCATAACACTCATGAAAATGTCACAAGAACCACATTTGAGCGTCATGCTGGCATCCCTGAGCTTGAAGATGCAGCTTGCAGGATTGGCCTGAAGGTCTCGATTCAAGGTGCGCTTGAAGGCGCGCGGGGGGCTTGGACGTACATTGATGTGCCGGCCGCCAAGCCGGGCCCCGTGGTGTCGCCTGGGACAGTGGGCCATGAGAATGGGAATGCCGTTAGCATCTGCAGTCGGTAAGGCAGTGATGGGATGAGTTGTTGCCGTTTTTCTTGGCTGCCTGTGGCGCCGTGTTCTCACGGCAATGACGTGGCCCATCTGTGAGGGGCGAGATGAATGGGATCGGCAATCGCCAAGCCAGTAACATGAAGCCGCTTTGCTAGTGCAGCAGACATGGGACCCTAAGAATCTCCGGCTCAAGATGGGCTACTTACATGCAAAGTCTGGCTGAAGCCAGAAACCACGCATTCTGGGATGTCTACCTTGCATCTGAAAAGTTGCTCATCGAGCGGAGCGTGGGCAGGGCTGCCAGCGATTTCTGGGTAACGGTCCGGCTATGTCCCTTGCCGCTCCTGTCGGGAAGGATTCGCCCTGTCTTCCCTGTGGCCGAGCGGCCTTGTCGCCGGTTGCCAGCAGCGCCAACCCGCAAACTGCGAGCACTCTCCGTGGCATGCATGCGTTTGCCACGAAGCCTAAGCTGGCACCTTCTGGCCGAACACTTGTGGCTGTGGTTCGGGCAACGACGTCGGCAGCGGGTAGGTCCCACAGGTTGCACCTGATTAGGAGAGTCACAGTGACGAGAGTCTGCTTCAGTTTCTCGCCTTGAGCTGTTCTTTCCCATGCCAGCATTGGTGAGCCTTTGTCGTGCCATTGTGTTCGGGTGGTGCTGATCTGCAAGCATTGAGCCATACTTGGCCCAGCTCGAGTGTCCATCGCCCACAGGCAGACACACTGAGCTGGCTCCTTGCAGTTGCAGGGGTGGGGTCCAGGCCAAGTTGAGCTTGCCGAGCTCGAAGTCGCCACGATGCATCTGCGCAGCCGACTGGTCTCGGGAGCTTGTGGTAAGCAGGCAGCTACCAACGAGCTGATGTCGTCGTGCGACACGTGGCAGGCAGGTGAGTTCATGATGCTGGTCGGGCCGCCGAGGATACAGCGATTAGCTTGGGAAAGCTGCAAGGCTGGCAAGCACTGCGACAACAGAGGGCTCCGTGTAGCTGTAGCCTGTTCTGCCGAAAAGGGTTCACCCTTCGGTCATCATGTGCTGGCTCTTCTGGTCGTGCACACATCTCAACAGTGTGGTGGTGCCTCAGTTGCTGCCTCCCTGGCGCACTTGCACCCTTCCGTCGGGACATTGGAGAGCCTCAGAAGGGCGTGTCCAGAGCTAGCCACCAGATGCCGCTAGCCTAAGAAAGGCTTCCCAACCAGTCCTTTCAGGCTTGATGATTGTGCAATGGCTTTCCGGCTAAGCCAGGTCGTGATCCAGGCTTTCCGCCCCCAGCTCTTTCGAGTCAATCGGTTGCTGGTGTCTTAGCGGCAGGCGCAGCTGCATTCAGCGCGCGGCTTGGACGTTGCTTGGAGGCCCGCTCGACTTGTGTGTCCTTGCCTGTGGTGCATCTGCCGCTGCTGAATCGGCTCTGCACTCCTGGCAGCCCATGTCCACCCCAATGCGTTCTGGTTGGTTCAGCACTGCGTCATATTTCACAAGAGCTTCTCGTCTATGCAAAAGATGTGCAAGCTCGTTGAACCTTGAATCCTGAATGTAGGATGCTGTGCCTGATGTCTCTGGTTATTCGTGCGCTGTGTTGCCGAACATTGCCAGCCGATCGGTGCAAGTTTGCGGGAAGCCTTCGTTTTCGAGCTTAGGGTTTTCTGCCAGAAGTGCTTCACACCTTCCGCGTGACAGGCCTTTGGCCCAGGCTTTCCCAAGGCCAAAGAAGCTGGAGCCCACGGACCTGCTCCTCCTCTTCTGCACCGCGGGCTGTGTGCCGGCTCAATGGTCACAGCCTGAAGCAGCTGCATGTGAATGCCGACACCCGACACGGAGCTGCGGCGTCACCAGGGCCTGTGTCTGGCATCCGTCTCGGTCTTTGAGAAGACAGCGTGGTGAGCGCTACACGGGCTGCTTTGGTCCTTCGCTTGTTTTCGGTGAGTTGAGGGTCTCGGTACACTCAAACACCCTCACATGTGCGTAGCCTGACTGTGCTCCCTGGTTGAGTGCAGCTATAAACTTCAGTCCACGTATGCAGATGCATCATCACATTCGGTGGTGCGGGTTTGGGTAGAGGTGCCGGCTCCCCATGGCCTTTCGCTTCCAGTCTTGGCAACATGCCGACATCCATACCGAACAGGGGCAAGTCTGTGGGCACTTCTAAAGTATTCCAAGGTTAAGTTTGCAGCCACAATGCTGCAACTCGGCTGAGAGCTTGTTGTATGTCACAAGAACCCTTTAGAACACCAGCCTCAGTAGGAGAATGAGGTGCAAAGTCGACCTTGACCTCTTGGACATTGCATCGTGATGCTTTGAAAGTGCAGAACTCATGCGCCTCGTGTGTCACTCGAGGGGCGCAGTTGCACAATCGTCCTTCCGATTTCCTTGCAGCCGCGAGAAGCGACGCCGCACTATGATAGCCTTAGCAATGCTACTCCCACTTTGCGTGTGAACTGGAGAGGAACACCTTCCTGCCCAGGAATTTGGAATCTGACTCTGAGCTGAAAGCTTTGAGATCGCAGTTGCTGGCAGTACCTTGGACGTTTCACAGTCAGCTTCCCAAGCAGAAGGCTTGTCGCAGATGTCGCAGTTCATGTTAAGGGGCGGGTTGCTGTCCTTGTGTAGTGAGGGCTTTCGACCTGCGGTGCAGTCCAAGGGCTGGGCAGATCACCGTGCGGAAAAAGATCTCCAACAAGGCAATGCAAGTACACGCAAGCCCGTGTCATTTGGCTGCGTTGTGGGCAGGACTGTTCCCCAGTGTGCAGGTGTCCGTCACTTGCAACTAGTGTTGTCTTGCGTTGGAGGACGCTAGTGAGCAGTGTGGCTTCTGGATGCAGACACGCGTGTGACAACCAATAGTGCCATGCGTTAAGCTTTTGCTCCAACAATTCGGCCCTTATCCTTTTGTTGCTCACAAGAGCCCTTTGTTTGGCCTCTGTATCCGGCCGAGCTCAAGCATGAGCTCTGGCTGTCATCGGCCAGCATATCGGCAAGCTGTGGTTGGGCCTGGAGTCGCATCTAGCTTTTCTGACTCGGGCCAGTCTGAGAACGATGCCTCTCCTCTTTCAGGAGTCGTGCCAGACCATTCCAAGTCACAGTCATGGATTGTCTTTACACTTCAGTGCAGCTTTGCAACGCGCATGATGTGCAGTCCGTGCATGACATACTCAGGTGTTCAGCATTGGTTCCCCTGCTCCTTCGTATGCAGGCGGCTTGCAATCGGAGGAGCCAGGAAAGGCGCCATACATATTTCTCTGGCAAACGTCGCGATTGTGCAAAGCTAAGCTGTTGATGGGTCGCTTCAACGCAGTCAAGAACAAAGCGGCAAGTTGGAGCGTTGTGTGTTGAAGTGACTTGTAGTCCCAGACAAAACCTCTGTGTCATAGATTCCTACAACGGGTCGCTTGCGCGTTTCATACGTCATCAGTATCGGCAGAAGTGCGTTGTCTGTTTCGTTTCACAGCCATGGCACAGACTCAGCCATTCGTTTCGACAGCACTCGTTGTGATCATGCAGCCTCGTTTTTGAAGAAGCTTGCAGAGCAGATGGGCTGAGGTTTGTAGCGCCAAACCACAGACTGCAAGTCGTGCGCGCACTGCCCGTGCCGGAAACTCAGACGCCTTTGCCGCGAAGCCTGAGCTGGCATGTGCTGGCCGAGTGCCCGATGGCTGTGCTGCGGAACATCATAGGGACGAGCTGCCGCTTCAGTTTGTCGCTCGGAGTTGTTCCTTTTCATGCCAGCATTGCTGAGTCTTTGCCGTGCCATGGTGTTGGGATCGTGCTGATCTGATCCGCAAACTCTAAGCCCAGCTCGGTTGTCCATCGCCCACAGGCAGACGCACTGAGCTGACTCCTTGCAGTTGCAGGGGTGGGGTCTCGAAGTCGCAACGATGCATTTGCGCTGCCGACTCTGTCGGGAGCTTGTGGTAAGCAGGCAGCTACCAACGAGCTGATGTCGTCCTGCGACACGTGGCAGGCAGGTGAGTTCATGATGCTGGTCGGGCCGCCGAGGATACAGCGATTAGCTTGGGAAAGCTGCAAGGCTGGCAAGCACTGCGACAACAGAGGGCTCCGTGTAGCTGTAGCCTGTTCTGCCGAGAAGGGTTCACCCTTCGGTCATCATGTGCTGGCTCTTCTGGTCGTGCATGCATCTCAAAAGTGTGGTGGTGCCTCAGTTGCTGCCTCCCTGGCGCACTTGCACCCTTCCGTCGGGATATTGGAGAGCCTCGGAGGGCGTGTCCAGAGCTAGTCACCAGATGCCGCTAGCCTAAGAAAGGCTTCCCAGGCAGTCCTTCCAGGCTTGATGATTGTGCAATGGCTTTCCGGCTAAGCCAGGTGGTGATCCAGGCTTCCCGCCCCCAGCTCTTTCAAGTCAATCGGTTGCTGGTGGCTTAGCTGCAGGTCCAGCTACATTCAGCACGCGGCTTGGATGTTGCTTGGAGGCCCGCTCGACTTGTGTGGCATTGCCGGTGGTGCATCTGCCGCTGCTGAGTCAGTGCCTTCCACCACCTGCGATTTCATTCCCCAGCTCAACATCTGGCTTAGCTCTTCTCGTTGGCCGCACTTCTCCGGCTTCGTCGCGCAAGGCAGCAGTGCTCATCATGTGCATGCTGGTTGCTTGTGTGCCTCTCGTGATCACAAGACTTCGTTATGAATCGTCGCGCTCCTTTTACTTTTTGCACCAATGATGCATGCGCATTCTTCGCAGCCGTGTATTTGCCGTGGCCAGCTTAAGTCACAGTTGAATAAGGTGGTATAATGCGATTGCTGAAGCACCAGATCACCCGAGGGAGGTTTGGCTGAACAAGGGGTTGTTGCTGGTGCCATGACTCGCAAGAAGCTTGTTCCCGTAGACTTCCAGGTCATGTTAGTGCGTCTTCGCAGCGCCTGAGAAAGAACCTGACGTCAACAAGCAGGTCACGCAGAGAAGAAGCCTTACCCTCGGGCCTTAGGGCCCCCCCTTGGCTATATGGCCTGCGCTCAAGAAATGTTTTGGGCCTTCGGGCACGTTGGCTTGAAGTTCGAAGCTTCGGTGACTTGACTGCGAGTTTCGACGTGCTGGCCGCATTCCACGAAGTTCCTGTCTGTTTCCAGCTGGCCCAGCGAAAGCATAGGCTCCGACAGCTTCGGTAATGCCGGCAAGGATGGGGACCGATTCCAAGAACAGTTCAGCCTTGGTGCGAGCGTGGGCAGGGCCGCCAGCGATTTCTGGGTAACGGTCCGGCAATTTCCCTTGCCACTCCTTTCGGGAAGGATTCGCCCTGTCTTCGCTGTGGCCGAGCGGCTTTGTCGCCTGTTGCCAGCAGCGCCAACCCGCAAACTGAGAGCCATCCCCGTGGCATGCATGCGTTTGCCACGAAGCCTAAGCTGGCACCTTCTGGCCGAGTGCTTGTGGCTGTGGTTTGGGCAACGACGTCGGCAGCGGGTAGGTCCCACAGGTTCCGCCTGATTGGGAGAGTCACAGTGACGAGAGTCTGCTTCAGTTTCTCGCCTTGAGCTGCTCGTTCCCATGCCAGCATTGGTGAGCCTTTGTGGTGCCATTGTGTTCGGGTGGTGCTGATCTGCAAGCATTGAGCCATATTTGGCCCAGCTCGGGTGTCCATCGCCCACAAGCTAATACACTGAGCTGACTCCTTGCAGTTGCAGGGGTGGGGTCTCGAAGTCGCAACGATGCATTTGCGCTGCCGACTCTGTCGGGAGCTTGTGGTAAGCAGGCAGCTACCAACGAGCTGATGTCGTCCTGCGACACGTGGCAGGCAGGTGAGTTCATGATGCTGGTCGGGACGCCGAGGATACAGCGATTAGCTTGGGAAAGCTGCAAGGCTGGCAAGCACTGCGACAACAGAGGGCTCCGTGTAGCTGTAGCCTGTTCTGCCGAGAAGAGTTCACCCTTCGGTCATAATGTGCTGGCTCTTCTGGTCGTGCATGCATCTCAAAAGTGTGGTGGTGCCTCAGTTGCTGCCTCCCTGGCGCACTTGCACCCTTCCGTCGGGACATTGGAGAGCCTCAGGAGGGCGTGTCCGGAGCCAGCCACTAGATGCCGCTAGCCTAAGAAAGGCTTCCCAGGCAGTCCTTCCAGGCTTGATGATTGTGCAATGGCTTTCCGGCTAAGCCAGGTGGTGATCCAGGCTTCCCGCCCCCAGCTCTTTCGAGTCAATCGGTTGCCGGTGGCTTAGCGGCAGGTCCAGCTACATTCAGCGCGCGGCTTGGATGTTGCTTGGAGGCCCGCTCGACTTGTGTGGCATTGCCGGTGGTGCATCTGCCGCTGCTGAATCGGCTCTGCACTCCCGGCAGCCCGTGTCCACCCCAATGCGTTATGGTTGGTTCAGCACTGCCATATTTCACAAGAGCTTCTCGTCTATGCAAGAGATGTGCAAGCTCGTTGAACCCTGAATCCTGAATGCAGGATGCTGTTCCTGATGTCTCTGGTTATTCGTGCGCTGTGTTGCCGAACATTGCCAGCCGATCGGTGCAACTTTGCGGGAAGCCTTCGTTTTCGAGCTTAGGGTTTTCTGCCAGAAGTGCTTTAACCCTTCCGCGTGAGAGGCCTTTGGCCCAGGCTTTCCCTAGCCGAAAGAAGCTGGAGCCCACGGACCTGCTCCTCCTCTTCCGCTGCTCTGCGCCGTGCGCGCAGGACTCGCAAGCAGGATTGCACGTGGCCGCTGTCGCACTGGAACCTGGGGCATGAAGTGAGGCCGAAGGGGAATCTGCGTCTCTTGCCGCACTGACCTCGAAGATGAACCCACCCTGTTGGTTACCATGGTGTGTACCTGGCTAGACCACAGCATTACATGCAGGCGCATTGTGCTTGGTTTGGTTGGGACACTCCATGGTCATCGGTTCGTTCCTGCTTGAGGAGCCGCGCATGGTTCTGCTGTCAGGAGCCCTAAAGAAGAAGACCTTTGGCATGCATGAGATCTTCAGGCCGACTCGGACCGAGCCGAGAAGACTCATGCAACTGAAGACCACTTCTGGCCAGAAGCCAAAGGCAAAAAAGATGACTCCTAGGTGATATAAGTATATGATATATTCATACATACATATATATATATGTATGTATGTATGTCTGTCTGTCTGTATGTATGTAGGTATATAGACTCCGATGGACCAACTTGCAAGATTGTGAATTTGTTTAGTTCGCTGGTGCTGTACCCTAAACTCAAAACCCTCGAGCATTCAGCCCCCACTGGGCCTCTTTAATTGGGCGCTAGAGATGCAGGTTTGCAGCTGGATGGGGTTTCGGGATCAGGGCAAAAGGGATTTGGGGGTTTAGGGCCGCTCGTTGAACAAAGCCAAACGCTGCTTTTGCTCTCATGTGGCCGCGGAGACCTTTGCAACGTTTCGGCTACAAGGCCTGTACATTTTGCTGCCTTTACTGAAGGAATAGTACTCCTTAAGGGATATTGGAGTCTCTGGGTACAAGGCCTAAACCCTAAACCCTAAACCCTAAACCCTAAACCCTAAACCCTAAACCCTAAACCCTCAACCCTCAACCCTCAACCCTAAGCCCCTGTTCACTTGCTGCCTTGAACATGGCCGAAGGTTGGTGCTTTCGGCTCGAGCCACAGCAGGTCCTTGCCCGCACCAACAAGGTGAAAGGCATGGCGACCGCTTCCGGGGATGCTGTCGATGTGGAGGCGACCCTTCGGGCCCGAATTAGGGTTTAGGGTTTAGGGTTTAGGGTTTAGGGTTTAGGGTTTAGGGTTTAGGGTTTAGGGTTTAGGGTTTAGGGTTTAGGGTTTAGGGTTTAGGGGCTCCCAAAGCATCCCAAAACGCCAAATCTCCGGGTGCTGCCCCGGGTTCTCCTGTTAGTCGGATGCTGGGTCTAGGGTTCAGGGTTTTGGGTTTAGGGTTTAGGGTATAAGGCTTAGGGTTTAGGGTTTAGGGTTCCCCAGAGCCCAACCTATCTTACTGGTTCATGGCGGGGTCTAAGCCCTACATAACATACGTGACCCTGTAATTCGGAGATTATGGAAGGGATCCCCACCCTCTACTTCCCTACGAAGAAGCCATAAGAGCTGACAGTAGCTACCGGCGCTGCTCATCACAGCTGGCCAATTTGAAGCCAGGCGTTTTTGCCAAGAAGGAGCTACGCTCAGGTCCCACATCCCTGCGATGTTTGGCTTCGGGCTTGATGTGGAGAAGTCGCGAAACGCCAAGCTTTTAACAAAGTTCTCTCCTGGCCGTATGGCCATATGTCAGATCCCAGGCCCTTTGACTTTGAACCCAGTAGCCATACCACTGCGTGGTTGGGAGATGCGTAGAAGGTGCGGGGATCATTCAGCTATTCTTCCCCCCCCCCCCCCCCCCCCCCAAAACCTCCTATAAATTCCTTGAGGGCTGGTAGAAACACAGAGAGGCGCTTTGCGATCCCAAGTCAGCTCCCCCACTGCGCTCTTGCCCTAAACCCTAAACCCTAAACCCTAAACCCTAAACCCTAAACCGTAAACCCTAAACCCTAAACCCTAAACCCTAAACCCTAAACCCTAAACCCTAAACCCTAAACCCTAAACCCTAAACCCTAAACCCTAAACCCTAAACCCTAAACCCTGAACGCTGAACCCTGAACCCTGAACCCTAAACCCTAAACCCTAAACCTTAAACCCTAAACCCTTAACCCTTAACCCTTAAACCCTAAGCCTCCCTAAACCCTAAACCCGACACCTTAAACCCTAAACCCTTGCCCCAGGCGCTGAAGGCCACGGAGGCGGCGCCCGAAGAGAACGTCGAGGAGTTTCAGCAGGCCAACTTATTTTTTTCCTGCCCTTCAGCTCGTTTTCCGCAACAAGACCCGAACTCCTGTTAGGCTGCTTAGAGCGGTTGTTAGGGGCTTTGCTTGGAGTTGGGAGATCGGGTATGGGGGGCATTGAGGGTTCTGGGCTTGTGGCCTGACGATATGGTGCAGTTTGGGGTTCAGGGTTTAGAGTTCAGGAGGGTTTTAGGGTTTAGGGTTTAGAATTTAGGGTGTAGGGTTTAGGGAAGCCCTCCACGCAAGCCTCGAACTCCACAAAACACAGAATGCCGAACTCGATTTCGAAGCTCAACGGCCCTTCAAACCCCCTAAAACCCCCAAACGCCCCAAATCCCTAAACCCTAAACCCTAAACCCTAAACACCCCTGAAGCCCTGAACCCTAAAGACCCCAAAGCCCTAACCCAGAAAGCCCCTAAAGCCCTAAACCCTAAAGACCCCTAAAGCCCTAAACCCCTGAACCCCCAACCCCCCGGCCCCCCGCTTAACTGTGAGGCAGTCGGCGTGGGTGTGTTGGGCTGGCTTGGCGCCGTCCTGAGAGGGTTTTGGGTTTACGGTTCATAAGGTTCGGAGGAGCCTAACCTTACCCCCCAAACCCTAAACCCTGAACCCTAAACCCCATACCCTCAACCCAAGCCCTAAGCCTGCCTAAACCCTCAACCCTCAACCTCAACCCTAAACCCTAAACCCTAAACCCTAAACCCTAAACCCTAAACCCTAAACCCTAAACCCTAAGCCCTAAGCCCTAAGCCCTAAGCCCTAAACCCTAAACCCTAAACCCTAAGCCCTAAACCCTAAACCCTAAACCCTAAACCCTAAACCCTAAACCCTAAACCCTAAGCCCTAAACCCTAAACCCTAAACCCTAAACCCTAAACCCTAAACCCTAAACCCAAGATCCCGAACCCCCCTCCCCCCCCTCAAACCCCCCAAGGCTTCATCATCGTCAACCTGGCGGCCTGGGGCCGCCCAGCTGCAAGTTGCACCCCTCCCGGGGTTCAGGGTTTAGGGTTTAGGGTTTAGGGTTTAGGGTTTCGGGTTTCGGGTTTAGGGTTTAGGGTTTAGGGTTTAGGGTTTAGGGGTTTGAGAGCCCTCCGGTTTGTTCCCGGAGGTCTTGGGTTTAGGGGCTTTGACGGTTTAGGCTTTGGGGGGTTGAGGGTTTAGGGTTGAGGGGGTTTTGGGTTTTGGGGGTTCAGGGTGTTTTGGGCTTGGGGTTTAGGGTTTAGGGGGTTTAGGTTTTCAGGGGTATTTAGAGAACAAAAAGGATGACTCGGGGTTCCAGATTTTGGATTTGGGGGTCTTGGGGGTCAGGCTGCTGATTTCCTGAAATGTAGGCTGACGACTCGTGTTTGGGTAGCTGAGTCAAAGTCAACTTCATCCAAGCATGAACACTGAAACTCCGTCCTGGAGTTGGGGGTTTCGGGGTTGTAGAGTTCGACTAAGAGCATTTTTTCTGGCATCTTGGGCTACGTTGAGAATACCCGTGTGCGTCCCGATGGCCCTAAACACCAAGTCCTGAGAACCAAGCCCTAAGCCCTAAGCCCTAAGCCCTAAGCCCTAAGCCCTAAACCCTAAACTGCATCGACCAGCCACAAACCCAGGGCCTCAAACCCTGAAGGGGCCCCTGAACCACAAACCGGAAACACTGAACCCGAACCCCAGGCCCTGAACCCCAAAGCTCAAGGGATTATGACTCGTACTACGACCACGGTTGTACCCTGGAGTTCCCCTCCATATACTCCGAACATGGCCCTTATACTACCTTAAGGACCTTTAAACAGGATCCCCCAAAACCAAAAGGGTCCAAGGTACAACCCCTGAAAAGCCATCCGGCACCCCAAACTCCAAACCCCAAACCCCAAACCCCAAACCCCAAGCCCCAAGCCCCAAACCCCAAACCCCAAACCCCAAACCCCAAACCCTAAACCCGAAACCCTAAACCCTAAACCCTAAACCCCAAAGCCATCAGGCTTTATCACCTTCGCCAGCTTTGTCTCTTGGACGTTTGGCCTGGGCGTTTGCATCCTGCTCCTTCTCGGAAATGAGACTTCCGGGCTTGAAAGGTTGAGGGTTCAGAGCCCTAAACCCTAAACTCTAAACCCTAACCCCTAAACCCTAAACCCTAAACCCTAAACCCTAAACCCTCAACCCTCAACCCTCAACCCTCAACCCTCAACCCTCAACCCTAAACCCTAACCCGAATCCTTAAGCCGCTACCCCCAACCCCAGCTTAAACCCGAACACCGCAACTTTAACAAAAAGAAAAAAGCATCGGCGCGTAGGAACATCAGCTCGAAAAGCCTTGAACCCCAACAGAGGACAGTTCTGGTGGCCGGGGTGGGTTGACGGGCAACGCGAGTGCGCGGCCCGGGTGTTTCACACCCGAGCGCGCGCCCTCCCCTGACACACCCTAAACCCTAAACCCTAAACCCCAAACCCTAAACCCCAAACCCTAAACCCGAAAACCCTAAACCCTTTGTGCCATCATGGCCAGGTACACCGTCTTGCTTGTCGGCCTCGCGTTTTGGTTGGAGAGGCCAGGGGGGGATTCTTTGGGCTTCCATATGGTTACCTTAAATCCGAAAATACCCTAAACCCTAAACCCTAAACCCTAAACCCTGAACCCTCAACCCTCAACCCAACACCCTAGACCCTAAACCCTAAACCCTAAACCCTAAACCCTAAACCCTAAACCCTAAACCCTAAACCCTAAACCCTAAACCCTAAACCCTAAACCCTAAACCCTAAACCCGACTGTGTTCAGGGGAGTCCACGTTCAGCGCCAGCTTTTTCCTACAACGGCACTGCCGTCTTGTTCCTCGGGTTTTGCAGCAATGGGCTACTGTAATTCAGTCCAGAGTCCCCTAAACCCTAAACCCTAAACCCTAAACCCTAAACCCTAAACCCTAAACCCTAAACCCTAAACCCTAAACCCTAAACCCTAAACCCTAAACCCTAAACCCTAAACTGCTGGTGTGCTCACGTTTTTCCGAGAAGAAGGTCATGCATGTCGCTGTGAAGCGGCCCAAGCCCGGTGAAGGGCAAACAACACATGGCCCGGTGAGGGCGCACGCAGTTTTTACATGTACAAGGCATCGCAGGTATAGCACCTGAACGAGTAAGACCAAGGATTTCGTGTCGTTGCTGTTGTGGAAAAGGAAATTCGAGAGTGAGAGCTCTACATGCCATGGCCAACCCTGCAGATTCCATGCCTCCTGGGACCTCCAACCAGGAGGTTATGAGCCCAAGTGGTGCTCGCCCTACTTCGCCGAGGATGACAACAACAGCTGCGGGGCCCGAGAGGGGCCAACCGGGGGTCGTAAGACCAGCTTTGGATGGTGGAGAGGCTCATGGAGCCCAACCGGAGGCCGTAAGGCCGGATGGTGCGCTGGAAGCTGGCGGCACTGGTGTGGCTGGAAGTGTGGATGGAGCAATGGTTTCTGGAGATAGCATGGACTCTGGGCATGGTACAAGTGGTCAAGTGGCAAGAGTTCAGGCCTTGGCGCTAGCTTCTGGAGCGGTGGTTGCAGGTGGCATGCAAGCTGTGGTGGCCTCAACCTCAATGACGAGGGAGGTGGAGCCGGCCGGTGAAGCTGGGGACATGGGCATGCTGCGTGATGGCCTGAATAGTGGAGGGCATCAACAACCTGGAGGTTTCAGCTGGAATGCGCAAGGCAGTCCGATGGGAAGAGAGGCACAACCGCGTGGTGCGATGCCGACCTGGGTTTCTCGCCTGGGAGCTTTCTTCCAGGCTATGGGGCAGTCACAGCAGGTGACACCCCCGGAGTGGATGCCGAGTCCCTTTCCGTCGCCTATGACGAGACCGTCGAGATCGCAGAGGGCATTGGAGTCACCTATGTCGCATGGGGAACGGGATGAGGCATCGAGGACGCCTTTGTTTGATGATGAGCAGAGGCAACAGATGAGGGCAATGGAGCAGCGGGCTCCACTGCTGTATGGTGCCACCGGGGTGGGACCGAGGCCTGTGGATGGTGGTGGCAGTTCTGGAGGAAGCACCTATGAAGCGGTGAAGGAAGAAGTGCGTCAGCAGCTACAAGGACAACTGCAAGGGATGATGAGGGAGTTGGAGGAGTCGAGAAGGGAGGCAAGTAGCTTGAGAGAAGAGATGGGAAGGATGCAATTGGAGCGAGAACGCATGGGAGAAGGGCAGTGGCCACATGCAGCAAGGGCTCGTCCTGGGCAGGGATGGGGCCAACACCTGTGGAATGGTCTGGTGGGGGCCTTGCCGGGTCCGTCGGGCCAACTTGGGCCACGAGGCAATCCTGGTGCGCTACATCCAGTTCAGCAAGGAGCTTTCCCCGAATCTCAAGGCAATCCTGGTCCGCTACCTCCAGTTCAGCAAGGAGCTTTCCCCGAATCTCAAGGCAATCCTGGTCCGCTACCTCCAGTTCAACAAGGAGCTTCCACCGAATCTCGAGGCAATCCTGGTCCGCTACCTGGGGGAAGTTTAGATGGTTTACGTCCAGTTCAACAAGGAGCTTCCACCGAATCTCGAGGCAATCCTGGTCCGCTACCTGGTCGTTTTTCCACCGAATCTCGAGGCAATCCTGGTCCGCTACCTGGTCGTTTTTTGAATGGTCAGAGTGACGCAGCAGGAGGTCGTTTTGGCTTTATGCCATCTGGTCAGAGTGACGCAGCAGGAGGTCAAGAGCAGCCGTTGGTCTATCCACGAGGTCCACCACAAGTTCTGGGAGGGCACCTTAGTCAATCAGGAGGTGCTGTGCAAGCAAGACAACCGCCCGCTGGGGCATCTGCAGAAGCGCCGCCGGGGTCGGGAGGAGAAAGGCAACAGCCGTCAATTGGTCCTGGAGGTGATCCCATGAGCAGGCTGTTGGAGGGTTTGGAGCGGGTGATTACGAAGTCCCAAAGGACCGAAGACGTGCACAAGCCGGTGGGGGACATTCCGATGCTTCCCGCCTTGAGTGATCGTGCTAGCGTGGACTTTGGGGACTGGCTCCACTGCCTGGAGCACGCTATGGGAGACCTCTCAACTTCGTCGGCGGAATGGTGGCAGGAGGTAAAGGATTGCGCCAAGGCGTACTATGACTCCTACCAGAAGGCAGATCACTTCAATCGGCTCAACCTGGCACCTTTGGCTTCCCCTGTGCTGCAGGAGGCAAGGTGGCAGCGCGTTGATCGGAGGGCGGCCACGCTCTTGTTGGCATCAACGCCTGAGGACATCAGGCGGGAACTTGTGGCTTCGAGAGTGAGATCTTCGCTGGAAATCCTGAGCCGTTTGATGGTGTTGTACCGCCCGGGATCTGTGATGGCCGTGGATGGTCTGCGCTTGTGGTGGAGGTACTTCCAGAGGGCCAAGGATTTGGGGGTCGTGATACCAGACCCGTCGGTGTTACTCCGAGGTATCGACGTCTTGGTGAAGAAGCCGCTGTTGGACCACCATGAGGTGGCCTTTCGTATGAACCTGGTCCGCTACCAACTGAAGGTCGACTTCGTGCCGGTGGAGGACAACGTGAAGGCGGTGCATAAGGCTCTCCTGGCGGAGTTTGAGCAGCTGGCCTCCAGAAAACCAAAGGGGGTGCCGGGCAACAACTCGCCATCGACCACGCCTCTCAGTCCTCAGGCCAGACTGAAGGGTCTTACAGGTGGGGCAGCCAACAACCAACCCAAGGGGGAGAGTGCTGGGTCTCAAAAACCCTGCAAGTTCTTTGGTGTTACGGATGGTGGGTGTAGACGTGGAAGGGCATGCCGGTTTGTCCATAGTTGGCCGGACCGGGATGCAAAGAGAGAACGGTGCTGGAACTGTGGTGGGAAGGGCCATCAATCGAAGGCGTGTCCTACAAGGCCGGCGGAAGGTACCACTACGACTGCGACGGCTTCTACACCTACCACTCCGACGGCGGCGCAAGTGCAGGCGAAGCCGATGCAACCAGAGACCCAGAGGATGATCAAGGCGGACGATGTGGCCACGGTGATCTCGGAGGCGAGTACGATGACGTCGTCTCCAATGGCAACGAGAACTACGCTCGATGATCCTATACCTGGCACGCCTATGGACATGCAGCAGATGTTGGAGAATGCGCAGAGAATGGTCAAGTCCTTGATGGAGCACAGTGCCACGATGAAGGTGATGCGTATCACCTCGGCTGAGAGTGAGGAGGTGCGAAGAGCTCAGGCCCTTGGAACGTTGCCAGCAGTTAGCAAAATGGGGCTGTTGGATAGTGGGGCCACTCATGCACTACGACCGGGCACTGTGGAGGAGAAGAAGAAGGCCGCGAAGGTGGAAGTTGCGCTGGCCGGGGACACCAAGATTGAGTTGCCTCAGTCGGACAAGGGAACGATCTTGGGGGACAACCAAGCTCAACCAATTGTGCCCCTTGGAACCCTTGTTAGACAGCTGGGGTATGAGTTCGTCTGGAACGCGCGCGGATGCAGATTGAGACACCCCAGCCGACCTGAAGTACAAGTCTACACGCGGTCGTCGTGCCCGGAAGTCCGAGAGTGTGATGCTCTGAGGCTCATTGCGGAGTTGGAGGGCACCAAGGCCGATGAGGCGCTGAGGACCATGCAGGAGCTGGAGACGTCGATCAAGGTGGCAAGGTCGCATGAGGGAAGGAACTGGGCGGATTTCTTGAAGGGCTACGTCGTAACGGGGGATCCCTCTGATGGTCTGCGAGCCGTTCTGAGTGCGGAGTTCATGTCAGACGTGCCGTTTGAGGACAAGATCCGGATCTTTGAGAAAATCCCGCAGAGCAACGAGGAGGCCTGGAAGTTGATGAAGTCGCTCCCATTGAATCGCGCAAGACGGAGATCCTTGTGGGCAAGCCGCCGATGGATTGTGCACTTGTTCTCCGGGAAAGGGGAATCCTCAGATCCGATCAAGACCTTGACTGGGTGCAGGGTTCAGGGTCCACGAGGTGAAACACGTGAGGCATCTATGGCAGAAGTGCTGGAAATTGACCTTACCCAGTCCAAATCGTGGGACATCGCAACCAACGGCGGCATCTTCGCGCTGCTCTTGTGGGCGGCCTCACAGGGGAAGATACATGCCATTGTGGGGGGACCGCCTTGCAGGACCTTTTCCCTTCTACGACATCGCGAACTGCAGGGGCGTAACAATGCACCACGGCCGGTGAGGTCGGCGCAACATCTTTGGGGTCTTCCTGGGCAACTGACAAGGGATGAAGAAGCACTGGTGAGAGGTGACAACAACCTGATCTTGCGCATGGTGTGGCTGTGGCTGGTCGCAGAAGCAGGCTTGGACATGTGTTACCCGAGAAGGGATAGGGGTCCGGCAGTGGCGTTTGGCATGGAACATCCCGACGACCCGCGCGAGTTCTTGCAGCCCGGAGCAGTGTCCAATGAGATCATGGAGAAGTGTGCGTCGTTTTGGAGAACGAAGTTGGTCGAGCACATGAAGAACAATGGCATGCACATGTACCGGTTCGATCAAGGCGCACTTGGGCATCCTCAAAAGAAACCGACGGGGTTGCTAACTACCATGGAGTTGGACGAGATCAGTGGCTTGAAGGATACGAGGCGCGAATGGCCGGAGCCTGAGAACTCGAAGGACATGGCTTCTTGGGCTCCGGGACTACGAGAGGCACTGGCGAAGGGGATCCGTAGATGGGCATGGAGAGGCGAAATCTCTGTGGCGATGAACACCTTCACCCCGAAGCAGCTGGAAGAATGGCGACGTCACGTTGAAGCGGGGCATTGGCCGTTTAGGAGAGATTGCTCGGTATGCTTGTCGGCGGCGGGAACGGGGCGGCCGGCGAGAAGGGTGCTTCACAGGGATGCCTACGTCTTGAGCTTGGACATTGGTGGCGCGTTTGCAGAAAAGGGGATAGACGAGCGGAACGACAACGGGAGGGCCAACAAGTACAAGTTCGTTTTGGCAGCTACCTATGTGTTCCCAAAGGCCTTCGATGTGGTCTCCAAGGACATGCCGATCCCTGATGACATCGATGAGTACCTGGGCCAGGAGGAGGTGGATGAGGAAGGTCCTGAACCAGAAGCAGCTGAAGAGGAGGTGGAAAGGAAGGAGGACAAGGACCATGAGGAGGAGTGGAAGAGATTGGTGGGGGACCTAAACAAACCACAAGAATTCCAGGTCCTCAGGTTCGCGGTTCCTCTCGCCAAGCACAAGGGTGCGGACATCCTCGCGGCAGTCCAAGACCTTTACATCTACCTCAGGGCCAATGGATTTCCGCTGGCCAGGATACACTCTGACAGGGCACGTGAGTTCAGGACTAAGCAACTGCGAAAGTGGTGTCGGGAGCGGGACATCTACCAGACTTACACGGAAGGTTTGGCCCCGACGCAGAATGCCATGGCGGAGAATCAGGTGAAGTGGCTGAAGGCAAGGGCGCGTGTGTTGCTCACGGCTTCCGGTTTGAACAAGAAGTACTGGCCCTGTGCAATGAAGCATGCGTGTGCAGCCCACAACACTCGTCAGCTTGGAAAGACAATGACGCCGATTCAGTTCGGGTCCCAAGTGATGGTGAAGACAAAAAAGGATGTGGGGCCTTTCGACCCAAGATGGGAGGAGGCAGTGTACCTGGGTCCGGCCGATGATGTGCGGGAAGGGCATGTACTTGAACTGGCGGATGGAACCTGGCACAGAACGCTGCACATGAGGGTGGTTCGAGATGATGAAGTACCTTCTGGTGGAGATGAACCATGGGTGGCTGATCGCGTAGATCCAGGACGGCGAGTTCGTGGAAAGAGGCGATTGGAAGATCCAGATGGCTCGGGAGTACGTGTGCTACAAGAAGGGCAAGAAGATGGAGAAGAAGAGATTGCGGAGCAAAGGGCCCACGACAAACTTGAATATAACAAGTACGAGGACGAGGATGCGTTGGAGATCGTCCGAGCACTTCGGTTGACAAGTGGTCCGAAAAGGAGGGGGACACAGGACTTTGATTGGTGTGGGAGTTGGAGCACGGGGGCCTACGTCCACGGAGGAGTCTGGGGCGTGCAAACCAACACGACCAAGTTCCCCAAGGTCACCCGTTTCCTCACAACCTTTCTCAGAAACAAGATGAAGGAGCCAATGCCTTTCGGAACCATCGTCGTGAATGTGAACCAGGAGCTACTACCTCATCGTGACCTGCGCAACGAGCGAGAGTTCGCGAACTCGGTGTATGGCATGGGGGACTTTTCTGGAGGAGAAGTGTGGGAGCAGACGTACCTGGAAGAAAACACGGCGCTGGATGTGTACAGGGCAACAACCAAGGGATTGGTGCGTGGAAGAACCATGGATGTGAAGGGAAAGATCCAAGCCTTGTGGGCTCACAGGTGGCACGCGACGATGCCGTGGACAGGAACCCGAGTCACCGTGGTGGGCTACGTTCCAAGGAAGTTCAAGAATGTGGGATCTGAGAACTACAACCTCTTGCGGGACATGGGTTTCATGGTGCCTGTTGGGGCGGATGAGGAGGAGGAAGACGATGTTCAGGAGCCGCAGCAGAAGGTATTGCAGGGGAACGACATCGAGAAGGGTGGTGGTTGGAATGAAAGTGTTCATGTACCCGGGGGACATGTGGAGCTGGGAGTGCACTGGACAATGAAGTTTGTGCGTGAAGGGGATGGAGGCGAGGGTGAACTGAGAGCAACACCAACGTTCCCCGTCCAGGACCATGTTCGTGAAAGAGTACAAGAACGACTTCTATGGGCACGAGAACTGCTGGAGGAAGAAAGGGAGATATGGGAAAGACAAGAGAGGCAGACGGGCATTGTGGATGAGCATGTGAAGACCGTCATCGACAACCTGGAAGAGACCGTCGCCTACATGGAGCTCTACCTCATGCAAGACAACCAAGCTCATGTGGATGAAGTTCGCTTGAAAATGCTGCGTCGGTGGAGGAAGCGGTGACCCAGAATGTGGAGCAGCTGCTGCAAGGACTTGAAGGGCCCTTGGAAGTGGTGCACAACGTCAGCCTGCAGGAAGTAAGAGAGCACTTGACCGACTGGGTGCCGAGCATGAAGAAGGAGGTCGCGACGCTGGAGACATCCGGGACTTTGAGACCAATACCTTTGTCTCAGGCAAAGCGGCAATCTGAAGCGGGTGAGTTGATCTTGGTGCCGGGCAAAACTGTGTTCACGGTGAAGCCGCCGGAGGATGTGCGTCAGAGCAAATACAAACGGAAAACCCGTTTCGTAATATGCGGGAGTTTTGTCAAGGATGGTGACACCACGGAGCTCTACACCGCGAATGCAAAGGCCGAGAGTGTGAGATGTTCACTGGCGACTGCGGCGAGTCGAAACTGGGAAGCAGCTGGAACGGACATTAACAGCGCCTTCACCTTGACACCGATGACGGAGAGTGCTACGCAATACGCGGTGACGGCTCCGAAGATTCTGGTGGAAGCTGGTGTGGTGCCCCCGGGAACAGCGTACAAGGTGGATCGAGTCTTGTATGGCTTGCGAGAGGCTCCTCGTCTGTGGGGAATCTTTCGGGACAGGCGGATTCGCAACGCCCGCCTGACGGTGGATGGGCGCGACATGAAGTTCACGCAGCTTGAAACGGACGAGTCGGTGTGGCGTTTGCATCCGGTGGATGATCCACAGGAGACCATCGCGATGATGGTGGTTTATGTCGATGACGTGTTGTTCCTCGGCAAGCGGGCCCACATCGAGGAGATGTACTCATGGCTGGTGAATGGAACTGAGGAGGAGGGCGCTGGATGGAAATGCAGTCCGCTGGAGTTTGTGGGAAAGGACCCTGTGCGCTACCTGGGAATGGAGATACGCAGCAAGATGAAGGACGGAGGGATCGCCTATCACGTGTGCCAAGGGGGCTACATTGGAGATCTCTTGCGTGAGCATGGTGTGGAAGCATGGACTCCGTCGTTGGTACCTGCAACCCGGGAGGCAATGCCACAGGTCCCCGAGCCGGAGGATGGAGCCGAGGAGGCAGAGCCGGATCCTTCGGCGGTGCATGCTGCTCAGAAACTGGCTGGAGAACTGTTATGGCTCAGTATGCGGACTCGACCTGACGTGAGCTTTGCTGTGGCTCATGTGTGCAGTGCCGCTACCCGATGTCCTGAGGCTGCGCTGAAACTGGGGCGCATGGTGTTGCGCTATCTTCGTGACACCGTGGACCTCGGCTTGACCTACGATGGCACGGGACCGACTGTGCTGGCTTATTCAGACGCCAGCTATGCGCCGGGAGGCGGACGCAGCTTCGGATGTGCTGCGACGATGTTGCATGGAGGATTTGTGGCTTGGAGAATGGCGCGACAACCCGTGATATCTCTCTCGGTGGCGGAGGCGGAGTTGTATGAGGTCATCAATGCCTACCAGCAAGCCATGAGTATCAAGGAGTGGATCAAGGAGATTCATCCGAAGGTGGACGTCACCATGTTGATCGACAACCTGGCGGCACTGGGGCTCGCGTCAAGTTCCCCGGGAAGCTGGAAGACACGTCACCTTAGGATACGGGCGCGATTCCTGCGTCAGGAAACAGCGTCGGGGCGTCTGGAGCTGAAGCACTCCCCGGGGGAAGTGCAGGCGGCGGACATGGGAACGAAGGCAGTTCCTGCACCACGACTGCGTGATCTTCGCTTTCTTTGGAAGATGACAGTTGGAGAGTTCCTGGAGGGCCCGAAAGAGGTGATCCTGAACGGGGTCAAAGTGCCGGAGTCGGAGGTTCGCTTCAACCAGATGAGGATCATGATGATGTTGGTGGTATGTGCCTTGGTAAAGGGCACGCAGGGAGCAGAGCTGCCCCAGGAGCCTAAGAAGGACCCTCTGCCCTACGACGCTGGAATCGAGTTCTATGGCTTGATGGTGCTTTGTGGTGTGGCGATGATTGGAATCTGGGAGGTGATGAAGTGGTGCCTTGGAAGATGCTGTGGTAGTGATGAGGCTACAGTCCGAAGGGCCCGGAGACTTCTGCGAATCCGAGATCAGACAACGAGGGCCCTTCAAGAGGAGCTGATGGGATTGCGGGCGGAAGAGGTGCAGTCCTCGCCTCCTGTGAGTCAGGGTTCTCCTGTGGCTATGTCATCGTCGTCGTCAGCTACTGCGCCAACTACACGATTGGTGGAAAATGTGGAGCCAGCTCGGACAACCACGGCGGTTGCCGAGGAAACACAAGTGGGCCAAGTGCCCGACCCGCCTCGTACGAGGCAGAGCCCCGAGTACGACTTCGAGCTCTTCACAGGTGTCTTCTACAAGTCTGAACGTGGAGAAAAGGTGCACTTGTTCCACTGTCGTGGAATGAGGGAAGTCCGGTCGCGCGTGACGGAGTACCAGGTTTGTTCGTTTTGTTTGGAGCGCTACCCCTTGTACTACCGTAGACCTTTCAATGATGCTCTGCTACGCCGACATGATGGACATTGAGCACCCCGAATGAGACACCTAGTGGGCAGCGAGCCCACAAGGCGAGGAGGAGTGCTGGTGTGCTCACGTTTTTCCGAGAAGAAGGTCATGCATGTCGCTGTGAAGCGGCCCAAGCCCGGTGAAGGGCAAACAACACATGGCCCGGTGAGGGCGCACGCAGTTTTTACATGTACAAGGCATCGCAGGTATAGCACCTGAACGAGTAAGACCAAGGATTTCGTGTCGTTGCTGTTGTGGAAAAGGAAATTCGAGAGTGAGAGCTCTACATGCCATGGCCAACCCTGCAGATTCCATGCCTCCTGGGACCTCCAACCAGGACTAAACCCTAAACCCTTAAGGTTTTGCAGAAATGGGCTGTCTCGGCCACCTGAGGGTTTACTTGGAGGTTCATGGGTAGTTCCAAGTAGGGGCACAAGTCGGGGTAAGGATGTTTTTAGACTGATCTAGGGTCCTATTCACCCTACCTGTAAGCCTTCAAGTAAACCCAAAAATTCTAAACCCTGAACCCTCAACCCTCAACCCTAAACCCTAGACCCTAAACCGTAAACCTTGAACCCTAAACCCTATACCCTAAAACCCTGATGCCCTTCTTTTGAGCAAGCCCTGCGCTGCAGGCGAGGCTCAGTGTACAAGCAGTGCCTTTGGCCGCAGGGGGCTTTGGAATTTTCAGGGGAGGTTTATGGGCGCTTTGAGGGTTTAGGGTGGGCGTAGGGCTTAGGGTTTAGGGTTTAGGGTTTAGGGTTCAGGGTGGGGTTTTGAAGGGGGTTTTGCGGGGGCTTTGACTTCAGGGGTTTCGGATGCTTCAGGGGGAGTTTGGGACTTTCAAGGGGGTTCAGACTCCGTCCGAAACGTGGCTGAATGTGCGAAGGCTGTTGTTTTGAGCCACCACGTGTAGTAAGCGCTACGTTTTTTCGGCAAGTTATCAGCTGAGAGACAAACGGGGTTCCTGTTAAGGAACTTAGGTTAAGAATTACGTTATCATAATCAGGGTACTACAATCATGTAGTCTTTGTATATGACCAGGGTTTGGGGTTTAGGGTTTAGGCTTTGGGGTTTAGGGTTTAGGGCCTGAAGCATTCGGCTGATTCTTTCTGTAAAACGCCCCGAGGATGGTGATGAGGCTCAGTAGACCGTCCTGCGGCCTGCGGATGGTCACGATTGGCATTGGATGGCATTGGCTAGGGCTAAATCTGGCATGCTCGGGGTTGCAACGATCACGCTGGCCGCACCTAACATGCTCTCCCCACTGCTGCATGATCGGATGCCTTCTGACGCTCATGAGACCCGGCCGAATGCGCCGACTACGCTGCCCCCGCTTGCGGGTTGAACATTGGGCTGCAGCCCATGCAATCCCAAATGCGCCGATACCATTCTGTACCCACGATGCTGGCAGCTGACTCTGTATAAGCCCTTGAGCTCGCCACAAGACCCAGACCCCTGCACTTAAATGGAAGTTGATCAAAATGCCTGTTCCCAAATGACCCTGTAGTTCCCTTATACACCCATAGATCACCCCCCTCCCCCCCCAATGCACGCCGTAAACCTTAAACCCCAAACCCTGAACCCTAACCCTAAACCCTAAACCCTAAACCCTAAACCCTAAACCCTAAACCCTAAACCCTAAACCCTAAACCCTAAACCCTAAACCCTAAACCCTAAACCCTAAACCCCACAGGTTCGTCAACTTGCTTTGGGTGCTGGCTGGCTGGTTCCTCTTCATCTCCGGCGCCTACATCGCAGCTCCTGGGGCCCAATGTTGGGCCAGTCGGAGTCGGTTTAGGGTTTAGGGTTTAGGGTTTAGGGGGTAGGGTGTGGGGTGTAGGGTCCAGGGTACTCCGTACACCCTGGAACCCCGTCAGGGAGGTTCAGGGCTACTTAGAATAGGTTAGAAGGGCCCTCGGTGCAACCATAGTTACCGTACTTGTAACACTACTCATAAGTACTCATGAACCACCAGGAACAGAGGTGCCCTGGGAAGGCCGTATCCTCCGAGTGTCGCGAACCCTAAGCTTATCAGTTCCATGAGAAAGTCGGGACTCATGTTCCTGAATACCTCCATATAGAGCCCTAAGCCCTAAACCCTTCTGCCTCTATAAATACAAATAAATATTTTAAGGGGCTGCGCCCATGGGCGGGCAGCGCAGGCAGAAGCGCGGGGCGAGCAGTCTCTAAGCATCTTGAGGCCCCTAAACTCCCTTAAAATCTCTAAGCGTTTGAGGCTCCTCAACCCCCTCAAAGTTTCCAAGCATTTTCAGGCCCCTAAACTCCCTTCAAATCTCGAAGCGTTTGAGGCTCCTAGACTCCCTTAAAGTTTCTAAGCACTTTATAAGGCCCCTAAACTCCCCTTTTCCTAGCTTCGGGCTTAGACACATCGCTTATGCCCGCCCTTTGGGGGGCATCATGCTCCTGATGCGCCCCCGGGTCCCGCCCCGGGAGCCGCTGATGCTCCTGATGCGCCTGTGGGGGTCCCGGGCTGGACCCGCTGATGCTCATGATGCGCGCCCTCTGGGGGCCTCCGTGGCGACGCAAAAAACCACGAAAAAAAACCGTTCACCGGCGGCACGCGGGGGTCGGCGGCACTGGCGTCCGGCCTAATTCTGCTTCGCAGAAGGCCAGAGGCCAGCAAGGCTATTCCCGGGACGACCCGGGTTAAAAGGTCCGCATTTGCTCGGTCCTTTGGGGACCTCGCGCTGCCCGATTTAATGGCTACCGCCAGTGCCGCCGACCCCAAATCGCGGGAAGGGCGGGAAGAGCGGGAAGGGCGGCGGGGGTCTGGGCATGCACTGGAACCCTTAAAATCACTTCACGACATCGGGTACGGGGCGGGAAGAAAGCGGAGAGGGTGGGAGGAGCGGGAAGGGCGGAGCGGGCGGGCAGGCACTGGAGCCCTTCAAATTCAGCTTAGGATGGAGCCATGCGACCATGAGGCCAGTGCCATGGAGGCTTGAGAAATTGGGCCTGGTTCATGGCCATAGGGAGAGGGCAAGGGTCTGGCTCATGGGGGAGGGGAGCGGGCATGGGCCTGCCTCTGAGCCATAGGGGGGGGGGGAGTGAAGCCTTCGGTGGTGAGGGCGAAAGGCGCCATGAGTCGGAGAAGGGGGCCCAAGGGCCTGGCTCATGGGGGGCGAAGGGAGTGGGCATGGTGGGCCATAGAGGGGTGGAGCCTTTAGGTGAGGGCGAAAGGCACGGCGCCGTAGGTCAAGGGAGGGGCCATGGTAGGGCGGGAGGGGGGGGGCGCCATGGGTCGGAGTGGAGCCCTTCAAGTTCAGCTTTTTCAACTTGCAATGGACGGGAGACGGGGGCGGACGGGCAGGGCGCCTGCCCCATGGCCCTTCAAGTTCAGCTTTTTCGGCTTGGGATGGACGGCAGACGGAGGCGGAGGCGGTGGGCAGGGCGCCTGCCCCAGGGATGGACGGTTATCTGCGGGAGCGGGCGGAGCCATAGAGGGAAGGCGGAAAAGGCGGAGAGGCGGGAGCGGCAGGCACTCGCTTAGGATGGAGCTATGGGACCATGAGGCCAATGCTGCGCCATGGAGGCTTGGCTCATGGCCATAGGGGGCCCAAGGGCGAAGGGCGGGCATGGTGTTTGAGGGGGGGGGGGAGTGGAGGCTCAGGTGGTGACGGGCCAAGGTACAGGGCGGAGGGGTGGGGGGGTGGGGGGGGTGGGGGGGGTGGTGGGGGGGGGGGTGGGTGGGGGTGGGGGGGGGGGGGGGGGGGGGGGGTGTGGTGGGGGGGTGGTGGGGTGGTGGGGGGGGGTGCAAAAAGGGGGGGTCAGGTCGGGGCTGGGTGGCAAAAAAGTCAAGAACTCAAACCAGCTTCCTCAGCTAGGATGGGGCCTTCAAGTCCATCTTCCTCAGCTTAGGCATGGAACGCAAGGGCCATGGCTCATGCGGCCATAGGGGGGGGGGGCGCCATGGGTCGGAGTGGAGCCCTTCATGAAGCCAAGCGTCGGAGCGGGCGAAGCCATTGCGAGGGGGAGGGGAGGGCGAAAGCACGGCGCCGTGGGGCCATGGAACCGCAGGAGAAATGGGTCTTCACTGACGCCGCCCCGCTGCCGCTGGGGTCGGCGGATAAAATAAATAAGTAGATAAATAAATAGATAAATAAAAAAATCTGTATATATATATATATATATATGGTACCCCCCCCCCCAGTGACCTACCCTTTTTCGCCTTGTCTCAAGTCACCCAGCTGCACTGCAAGCAAACTCGGTGTGCAATATAGCGTATTTCCTGGGGCGTAGACTAAAATACAACTAAAATCGCACACACGGGACAGTAGAAAAACCAAAAATACCAAAACCAAAAAAACCAAAAAACCAAAACCAAAAAACCCAAAAAAACCAAAACCAAAAAAACCAAAAAAACCAAAACCAAAAAAACCAAAAATACCAAAAACACCAATTTTCCGGGACTCTCAGGAAATCCCTATGAGGCTTCTCCAAGAGTCCCGGAAAATTGGTTTTTTTGGTATTTTTGGTTTTTTTTTGGTTTTGGTTTTTTTTGGTTTTTTTGGTTTTGGTTTTTTTGGTTTTTTTGGTTTTGGTATTTTTGGTTTTTTGGTTTTGGTATTTTGGCTTTTTGGTTCGCCTTCACGGTCACGAGGCAACAACTACGCATTTTTAAGTGTGCTTATGCTAATTGTGCTTTTCAGAAATAGTATACAAGTGGTCTTTCTAGTGCTTCAGAACTATTTGTTTCGTTATTATGTAAGTAGAGCCGCTAGTGTTTAGTGCATCTTTTGGTTGTACTCAAGTCTAGTAGACCTTATTCAGCCATTACTTGGTGCTCTGGAAGCTCAATTCGCATGGATAATATTTGCCTGGTAAATGCGATTAATTATCTAGAAGCAGCATTTGCAATACTTGTCTTGAGAAAAAGCATTGAATTGTTTGCTTAAAAAGTGACTCCTACTCGTCCAGGAATACACCAAAACCCTATAATCCAAACTTTACCAGAGATTCTCCTGAAAAGCTTGCGCTTTTGGATGTTTTTATGTATT